AGGGGATGTAGAGAGGTGGTAAGAAAAGGAGGAGAGGTTGTAGGTTTAGGGGGAGGAAGGAGAGGTAAAGTGGATGAGGGTGGAGGCAAGGCGGGGACTGCCGAGTGTATCCGAAAATGTTTTGAGTATCTTTATTGTTTGTTGGTGTATATATATGCATCATTTGTATTTGTTGTTTTAATTGAAAAATTAATAAAAATTTTATTAAAAAAAAAAAGCTATTAGTGATCACTCTGTATCTGCTCTGAATATCATGATATGTTACAGATTATGATCCTGTTCAGAGAACACAGAAATCATTCTCCCTGAAAACCGAAGTATGTAGCCTAGAGATTGTGGTAGAATCTCCAGCTGGATTGAGGGAGATGTTAAGAGGGGGCTGAGTTTAGAATCCTTGCACTGCAGAAAGCAGCACAGGCCTGATCTTCCCCAGAATCCCTGAAGCCTTATGTGACTGTTCCCAAGGGAATATAACTAGTCTGGTGAGATTCTTGTAATAGATGACTATTTCTGTTTGTGACTATTCATGAGTACTTCTGATTGCTTGCGCCTGACACAGAGATACATCAAGACCAAGGGTTCACAATTTTTGGGCTGGTGAACATACTTGGAATTTTGAATGCTTGGGTTGGGCCATAGGATTATCATAGAGATAATCCTACTATCATTCTACTGATAGAATGATTTCCATATTGGACAAGCTAGTTACATTTAACAATAAATCAGGAAAGATAATACAAATGGAGATGCCTATTGACACCCTGGCATTCATGGGCATCATCTAGACCAGAGATGATGAACCTATGACGTATGATACACTATGACATTATTATGGGTGGCACTCTGGTATTTACTCCAGCATTCATCAACACCAATAATTATTCTCAAAAGCATGGCCTGTTCTTATATAATTTTCAGAAGTTCTAGAGGCTGCATGGTAATGGGGTGTGCTCTTGTGTGGCCAGACCCTCCAGTAATTGTGAGAGGGCCATGCTCTTTCATGGCCTCTAGAACTTCTGGAAACTGTATGAAAATGGGATATGCTTTTATGTAGTTTTCAGAGGTTGCAGAGACTGCAGAAGAGCATTGTCCAAAGCCACTTCAAGAATTAAGACCTCATGAGACTTCCGGTGGGATGGCGCGCCGATGGCGGCTCTTTCGGAGCTGTCCCCTTGGGAAGGCGTCAGAGCCAGCATGAACAGCGGCCAACAGCTGTTCAGCGGCTTGGAACCTTGTGCCCCGGGCGAAGGGGTCGAGGTGAGTATTCCTGGATAAGAGTAGAGTCCCAAAAGCTCTCCCCTTATTTTGGGAGAGCGGAATTGGGTACTCCTCCGGAGTCCGGGAGATCTCCGTCTCCCAAGCGCCTTTGTTCCCTTTTTTGGGGGAACAAAGCCAGTCGTGGCCTCCACTTCTGCGAATTACAGAGAATGGTGAGCAAAAAATAAGCAGACGGAACTGACCAGGGGAAACTGGACTTGAGAAACTCAAAACTTTAACTCAATTTATTAACATCTTCTTTAGAGTTAAGTGGAATTGAGGAAAAAAAAATGGCTGCGGTTTGCCGTTTCTCTATAGATGAGAGTGATTTTTCTTTTTAACTTTCACTTTCCTGCAGCGCTGAATGAAGAGGGAAATTGTTACCCCTTGGCTTAGGGTTGTAATATTGACATATTTTTTGGGGTTTATGGAATTTGGTGACCATTTTTTTTTCTTTTAATGGAGAGAATTCTGGATTTGGATTTTGGATTTTTCCCCCCCTGCTTTTTTTTCTCCGAGGCTTGGATTAAAGAAGTTTGAAAAATGGCTTTGTTTAATGGAACTTCCGCTTTGTTTAAAGATTTTCAACAGTCAAATTTTGAACATAGAGGTCGGAATGGAGGAAAAAGTGGAGCCTGTAAAAGTGGAAATTGGACTGGAAATGATTCAAGAGGAAGATTTGGATTTTTCTTTATGGAAGGAGGGAGAAGTGGAAGAAATAGTTGCAAAAGCGGAAACTGGATTGGAAACAACTAAAGAAAATTTACAAGGATACAGAGAAGAGGCAGTGATGGACTTAGCTGTGACTTTGGGATGCAATTTTAAAGAAATACTTATAGAAATGGAAAATTATAGTATTGCATTTCAAGGGAAGCAGTTGGGGGATATTATTGCTTATTTTTTAAGAGTATCTTGTAATGAAATTATACAGGTTCTTTTGTTT